AGATATTCATTGAAATCTGACCAACCAATCATTCGTTCAACGAATTTCATCGAAACATTAGCTGAGTTTTTGACGAATATCTCCGAATCCAAAGAAGATGGCAAAATTTTTGTAAGAACCTTTTTTCTAGAGCGAAATAAGGGCTACAAAAAAGGTCCTGACAAAAATGTTGCCATCTGCCTCACATTCCGAGATATTCATTGAAATCTGACCAATAGTCAAAATCAACTTGAACAATGTTACCGAAAAAAACATAAAAATTTTGTTGACCCCTGCACACCTCCGGTATCTCCGAAAATTGAGGCTCTCCCACCCCCCAGTGCCCTCAATGCAGCCTCACGCATAATGGAATTAACCAACCGATTTTTTAATCCCCTTCGATCCACCTCCCCCTCCTGAATATCGCGGGAAGTCAGGGACTAGTACCAGCGTGTTGGTAGAATGCACGAGAGACCTAAAAATAGTGACTGTGTACTCGGCGACTCGTTGAACTCATCGGAGGGGCGCTAGAAATGCCCCCGATGCATCTCGCGATTATTACACAACTGTTTACACATGTCAATTCGTCGTTTCGTCGAGATTGAGAGGTGCGCAAGACCGTGGGGAGGGGCTTAATTAATTCTGCGAGGGGTTCATTTCGGGGATCAAGTGCATTTATTTGAGCAATGACTCGGGAATTTTTACTATTTAGCTCGAGTCCTTGGGGCGTCAACAGGGTTAATAATTAGGTGGATATGCTGGGGAGGGTCACGCCGGTGTTTGACCCTTAAACAACGCAATTGTCCCTGATTAATTGGTATTTGGGGGTCATTAAATGTGAGGGGTAAAACGGAACTTGGAAATTTTGAATCTGGAAATTATGGTTGGGGTTGTTTCTATTTTTAATTAATGAAATATTGCAAATGGAACGGTATTCAAATAGTTCGAAATATGAATTAATGAATATTACTCATTAAGGCCCGGGTGTACTATCTTTCGAACGTTATCTCTATGTTTTTCTTCATCTTTTGTCATCTGAAATTGTCAATTGAGTCCTGCATCATGCAGAAGTTTTGAAAAATTATGAATGAATAATAAAAAAAAAGTAGAAGAAATTCTTGATTTTTTCGAAGGGTATTTTTAATTTATATTCAGAATAAGTTGAATAACAAGAAATTGAAAAATGTATCTGATTTACGGTGACAAATGGCGGCCTGTCAAGGGAAGACTGATTTTGTAAATCTTTTCCCACACTGCACAGAGACATTTATTACGGAAAAGGCTCTTTGAAAAAAGTTGTAATATTTTGGAGAATTTTTTAATCACACTTTTATCACATAAAAATGGCAGATGACTACATACCACTGTTTTGAAAATTGAGATACCCAGCTGTCGCTTCCCATGAGGAGTTAGTTTTCTTATCCACCATGGAAAATGACAGCTAATAGATAATTTGCCACAGCGAATCAGATATTTGTAATTTTCACTTTTTTCAACTCATTCTGAATCTCAATTAAAAACGCTCTCCGAAAAAGTTCAGAATTTTTTCTATTTTTTTTATCATTCTATCACAATTTTTGGGAATTTCTACATGATGTACCACTCAATCGACAATTTTGGATTACGAAAGATGAAAAAAATCCAGATAACATTCGAAAGATAGTACACCCGGGGCTCAAATTAAAAACAAGCAAAATACTAAACGAAAACAAATTCATAATAACGCCACGTAAATTTATAAAAATAAAAAAAAAATCGTAAATAATTCATGAGATTCATTTGCAATAATGATGTTAAATTGTGGTTTTCCCTCAGTTAATTTTCCTATCTCAGGGAAATAATAAATAGCTTCTAATAAAATCCAATAAAAAATCACAGAAACCTCCCCTCTTCTGTTTCAGTAGCCCCACCACCTCTCGGCCGCGCTCCGCAAAATGCCCCCCCACTAACAAAGCCCCTTTTCCGACCCCCGCGCAGCCCCCGATGAAGCGAGGAAGGCCCCCAAACTGCCATGCGTTCACCAGTGTTCCCTCGTCCTCTCTCTCGCTCAATCACCCACGAGTCTCGCCATCACCTGGGCACCTGATAGCCCACTAACCCCTCCCCCTCCCCCCCGCACCCCCAAATGTACACACGCCTGATGCCCGAGGACATGGCGGCGACGGCCAAGCACGAGGTGCGTCCAAAATTCCCCGGTGACCCAGGTGAAGAGGACATAGCAGCGATAGCCAAACAAATAAGCGATCACGCCGAGGCTATATACCAGACCTGGAAGAGTCGTGGTCTAGCCCCAACTGAAATACTGAACTGTCACAGTAATGCAACAGCAGCTGACAAATTTGGCAGTGCATTAACGCCAAATATATCCCAGAAGAGTAAGAAATTCGTGGAACCACTGGAGGCTATTCTCACCCCAGATAGACCGGGGAATTCCCGTTTGGCATCTCAAGAGGGCGACACTAGTCTCGTAAAGCTTGTGAATAATTTTGTGGTTGAGGACAGGGCGAGACAGCGGTCTTACCTGTCCAAGACCCTGCCCTCGTCGATTCAATTTGCCCTCGATAAATTTGAGAGGAATTCCCAGACCTCCCAGAAGCCCCAGATCCAGGTGAAGCCGAAAATTGTACCGAAACCGTTGATTCTGACAACAAATTCCGAGACGATTGAGACTATTCTCCCTGGGGAGCCGGCAAAGCGGCCTCTCAGCGTTTTATTGGGATCACCAGTGCCCAAAGTCCAAGGGAATGAGAATCTGGCTGGCAGCCAGGGCTCTGGCATGACCACGTGGCCACTGAAGAACAAATTATTCAGTGAATCGACGTCCGCTGGGTGCGTCGCAAGCAAATCCAATCAATCGGCGGCAGCTTATCTCGACGAAGTGGCTAGGGAGGAGGAGAGGCTGATCAATGCGCTGAAAACGGGGGCTGTTATCAGTGAGGAGACGGGGATCAGGCAGAAGCCTGCGATCATCAAGGAGAAGCCGAAGTTGACGGCTAATGGAATTGTCGCTGAGCAGGCGCTGCATTTTCTCCAGCAGAAGCAGAAGATCGAGGAGAGGAAGGGTGGGAAGGGCCAGGGAAAGGGCCAGGATGGCAAGGAGGAGGGACAGGTGACGAGGTGGGGACCCAGGATCACCTCGCCGAGGCCCAGGGCCGAGCAGGTGCCACATCCTGAGCTGACGAGCCAGCAGAAGCAGCACATCAGGGCTGCTGCGGCTGCCGCTGCGGCCAGCGATCCCCAGGGGATTGTCAATCCTGTCAGGCCGTTTCTCACGAGGGGATCCGTCGCCGAGAGGGTTCTCATCTTTGAGAAGTGCCCCAGCGAACTGCTGCTGGATAAGAGGGGACCCAGGGTCAATGTCGCAGGCGGACGGAGTCCTGGGGGCAGCGAAGGGCTGAAGACTCAGGTATTTGAACAGTTTTTTCGGTTCAGGGGCGTTACATGCGTGAAAGTGAAAATAGCGGAATATTCGTCAGCGGAACATTCAATTTCGGGGATATTTAAGGATGTACTACACCTTTTCGGCTAAAATTAAGTTTTTTTTTTTTTTTTTTTTTTTTTTTTTTTTT